CAACACTGCCCCCTCCTAAGACATACTCGTCCCGAGCATTATTGGGCCCATAATAACGCGCCAGTCGATCCACATGGACAATCTTAGGAGTACCTCTTCTAACATCAGTCAGCACCCGCCAGTTTCCCTACTGCTGCTGGGTGGTGCTGTTAGCCGTACTACTCTCTCAAGATCGATCACCTTCCCTTTCTACAGTTCGTTTAGGGCAGCTGGATCGAAGATGGCCTTTTTCCCCACAGCCGTAGCACCTATGGCTGTATGCTTTATTACGGTCGCAAACTGTAGCTGCTGCAACCTCCCTGACGCGATGGGAACGATGATCCTGCTACACGGCTTCCACCTCCAGTGCATTGGCCAACGCGTCCTTAAGCGTCTCGTGGTACCCGAGCCTTACAGCAGCTCTAACTTCAAGGTCGAGGATGCCGTCGATGAATGTCTGCACCAGGTTCCCTACAATGAGCGCAGGTACAGACTGGTATGCTTTTCGAACCAGCTTCTCCACCTCAAGGGCCCACTGATGCAGGTTTTCGTTACTACGTTGCACGTGATCTTTGAGCTGCGCACGAAAGACGTATTCCAGGTCAGCGTCGCCATATCTTGCCTCCAATGCCTCAAGGAGCTACTCGTAAGTCACTTCCTTACCGAGAGCTTCCAGAACAGTTAAGGCATGGTCGCGCAGGCCTAGGGTGAGAGCAGTCATGGCCTGACTTTTATTTCAGCCGTTTGTCTTCATGAAAGCCTCGAATTGGATTTTGTAGGCCGACCAGGAAGAAGTCCCGTTGAACGGTGGCACTTTGAATCCACGTAGCGAAGGTGTTGTAGCTACCACGGGAGCTGTAGTTCCATCCCCAAGTTTGAGGTCGTCTAGCGTTTTCTTCACGTCAGCCATCACGTTATCAACCCGATTGTTCACTTGGTTGATTCGGGGTTCAGCTTCCGACAGGCGGTTTTCATGTTGAGCAACCCTATCTTTCACCTCCCTTATCTCTTTCCCGAAGGTAGCGTGAAGGTCCTTCATGAGGAGCATCTGCTCTTCCATACCACGCTGCAGCTGCTCTTCCAACCGACGGGCCTGTTCCTCCTGTCGGCGAACGTGCTCCTGCAGCATCATCATCAGAGCACCTAAGTCAGGTGCTGCAGATACAGGAGCTGCTAACGGGCCGGCCTCCGTGGTCAGCAGCTGGCCCTCCTACGTTTGCGGCGTTGCATTACCAAATCGTCTCTGGTTCGTCTCCAGCTGGCGTTAACTTCGGATACGGATACCCTCCATGTCGTCCTTTGGTAAAATCGGCATGATTTGATCCCACTTCTGACACCAATTGTTACGAGCTTGGGGTTCGAGACAATTAAAAAACTGCCGATTGAATTACCAAAACTGACACTTTAATTACAGAACACTAATTACAATCTAAAACCACACTAATAATAAAACACAATTGTACTACTGATCACTTTATTTCGCAGTTATTTCGCTTCGAAATATTCTCTTGTATCGCCAATTCAATACTCGCTCTGTTGTGGTCTATACCGGCCTTATATAGGGCCTCAGATATTTTCCAGAACCTTCTACTGTAGCGACATCTAGAATGTTCAAGTACATATCGGTTCCGAAATTTCTAGAAGGATCTTGACTCTCTTAGCTCTGCTACTCGATACTAGAGGGCGCTAGTGGTAACTAGTTGTTACGGCGTGCAGCTGCCTATCTAATAGTAGGATTCTCCCGGGCCCATGTTAGGAAGAACCTACAGGCAGATGCAGGTCGGGCCTTTAAGGCCAAAGTGGAAGGTCTCTAATTAAAATAAACAAAGGGGGAAAGATCGGTAAGGGAAAGGCACTTACCTGCTTCTGGAGCGGAGACGGTTCACCAGGACCTGCCCGGCTGATGGAAGTGTCGTGAATGTATGTGTGCTTTGTATGAATATGTGTGTAAGTGGCCTTGGGCTAGATGACACAATACTGTCCTGGAGAAGGTATCCGCTGGTAGCCTCGGAACTATTCCCCTCTTGAGGCACTCTTTCCGTTTTCTCACGTAATGTTACAGCCAAACGTAGAACTTCAGAGGAAAATCACTATCGGAGTTGCACAATTAATTTGACAGAAATTAATAAGTCCTAAAGAACAATACGTGTTCTCGCAACGATTTACGCGGGTTTATACTTCCGTAACAAATATAGGCGCTAAACTAAGACGTCAGTATAGATCGCAAAAAAACTTTACAATGCTTGTCGAGAAAGCCGGCCGATACCGCCGTGGAATGCGGCCGGGTGGGGGGCGGGTGATCTTGCTGTCGATGCTACGAACACACGTTAAAAGATTTACGTTTCAAATGTATAATATTTTTGCCTAAACACTAGTGTTGCCATATACAAGACATTAATAGTGGCGCGCAACATTATTATCAATGGTAAAAGTTCTTCCGGGTTGTCCGTAAAGATGGGTGTCCCTCAGGGCTCGATTCATAGCCCATTCCCATTTTAGTGTATATTGACTTACGTTCCCTTGTAGAGGATAATCATGATATAGTATTGTTTGCTGATGATGTTTCCTTGATTTTTAAACTTAAATGTCTATCATTTAAATGTGACGAAGTGAATAATGCTATATCAAAATTAGTGCATTAGTTACAAGTTAATAATCTGCATTTAAATGGCAATAAAACTAAATGTATCAAATTCACAACAACGAATGTTAAAAATCTGTATACCAATGTGTTTTTAAATGTTGAAGAACTGAACCCTGTTGAGTCCTCTGTTTTTCTTGGTATCTTTTTTCGACGCAAAGCTTGAGTAGGGCCCCCATATACCCAAACTAGCAAGCAGACTAAGCTCTGCAGCTTATGCTGTAAAAAGATTAGAGATCTCACTAGTGTCGAGGCAGCTAGATGAGTTTATTTCAGTTATTTCCATAGCATAATGTCTTATGAGATTTTGCTATGGTTTAAATGCGGCTGATTTGGAAACTATTTTTATTTTGCAGAAGAGGGCCATAAGAGCTATTTACAAACTTAAACCGAGAGTCTCTTAGAAAAAAATTTAAACAAATAAATATATATTAACTTTGGCGTCTCAGTATATTTACGAAAGTTTAATGCGATATCGTAAACACTAGGAACAAACACAAGCTAGTGATACCGGTCTCTCGACTCCACAGAGTCAGTAATTCATTCTTGGGGCAATTTATACGCTATTACAACAAAGTTCCAGAAAATATACAAGGTATCTCTATTACCAAGTTTAAATATTTAATTATACAAAAACTGTATAAAAAGGGTTATTAAATTAAAGGGTTATAAAGGTACCTTATGAACTGCCAGTTTATAGTGGATTCCATTATTTGGAGAACAAGGAGGCGATGGTAATAAGCCTGTGTAGTGGATTCCATTATTTGGAGAACAAGGAGGCGATGGTGATAAGCCTGTAGTTGGATGGTTCTAAGCAGTCGCCTTTTTAGGGATTGGGTGCACTAAAGCTGTCTTCCATAAGTTCAAGATTACACCTAGGGATTAGAATCACCGGAAAAGACGCGTTAAAACCAGTGCTAACTCCAGAGCACCCGCCTTCAGCACACTAGGAGGGACTCCATCAGGCCCACTCAACTTGTTGACGTCCAGGAAGAGGAGTACTTTGCAAACCGAGCGCTGTGTAAATTTCACATCCAGCATGGAGCAATCACACCGTGGGATGGACGGCGCTGTGTTCCCCCCGTCATCGAGAGTCGAATTGGACTCAAAAAGAGAACCTAAAAGATCGACTTTCTCCTTTGCAGCATGGTCCAATGAGTCGTTCTCCCTGTGTAAAGATGGAACATATGGCTTACAGTTCCCTTGGACAGCATTGGCAAAACATCTTTATAAAATTACAGGTAGAGAAAAGAGCTTGAGCAGTTTCAAATCTTTAAATCATGTCCAGTTAGTCAACGAAAGACGAAAGGTACCAAATCATTCAAAGTTTTATTTTTACAATCCATTTATTTGTTTTGTACCAAAAATAAAGACGGATTACAGAAGTTTCCTTGACCAGGCTTGGCAAAACACCTTATTAAAATTACAGCTGGAGGGGAGAGCTTGAGCAGCTTAAAATCTTTAAATCACGTCCAGTCAGTCAATGAAAGACGAAAGGTATTATATAGTCTCATTTTTACAATCTATTTATTTGTTTTGTACCAAAAATAACGAAAGAGCAAAAAGTTTTTTTTATTATAGGATGTGGCAAGCGAGCACACAGTCCACCTGATGGTAAGTGGTTGCTGTGGGGCATAGACATCTTCATTTATCCTCGATTACCAATCAAAATACAGATGCGATGTCACCCGTAAGGACTAAGATGGAATGCCCCGTTTCCAGTAACAACGGTCTCCGGTTCTCTACACTCACCATAAGAAACACAGGAGCCTTAACCTGCTATTTTACGCTGGTATTGTGTGAGAGAGAGGTCCTTCCTTCGTTCGAGCCGACCCATTTGTACTACAACTATACCACTAAAATAGGACCATGGCTCTACCACGTATAAAATACTTGCGGCACTTACTCTATTATTTATTGAGAATATTATACAAAATTTTATTCTGTGCATATATGGTACTTGCAAAGATAAGCTCACCGCCACCCCTTCGAATTTTGCGTCCTATGTTCCATCTTAGTTCCTGTGGGTAAATCAGGCCCTGGCAGCAGCGTCTTCTTAGTAACATCTAAATAATAAAAAAACTGCGGTAGCCAACCCATAATCGATAGGGGAAGCCTATGTTCAGTAGTGGACTTTAGATTGTGTGTGACGGTAACGGTAATATATTTGTAGATATTGAGTAGAAAATAGATTTTAGTTAGTAGAATTTGGAAGATTTTTCTGCATTGTTTAGTATATTTGTCAAATAAAGTCTGGTCACGCCGTTGTTTGTCCATTCCGTTTTCCGTTAAAATGATAACTTTGAAAGTTTGAAAGTATTGGAAGATTTTCCGTTTTCCAATTTTCGTAAATAAAAATATTTAGTTACGGGTTTTGACCATGACCGAGTTTCGAACACCGATTAAAACAAATAAAGTTGTGGACGGAAATGATAATATATGTATTCCGCCTTCTCCTTTTCTAAATCGGCTTGGATATGGAACTGGTAAATATCAAAAATTCATTACTTAGGCACCTCTCCTATTTGCTTTTTGTTCTTCTACTATATCAATTATAATTAATTCATATATAATTTATGAATATGAATTAATTCTAATTCATATGGTTTTCATTTTGTGAGGCATAATTTTTTACTATAGTTAAAACTTGAAACAACAGTTGAGCTTTCATTAAAATTTATTTGGAACTTTTATGTTGAAGCTTTCAGGTCGATAAGTTTAGTTTTATCATTAAATACTATTTCAGGTGTATCTGTGATGCAACTTGTTCGGTCTCCTAAGGCAGGTCAGATACGTTCTCCCTGGGCCCTTAAAATGCTTAATAAGCGTGTAAAACCTAATAAAGTATATACAGAACGGTTACAAGCTGAAGCAGACCTGTTGCAGAGGATGTCTCATCCAAATATTGTTGGCTTCCGAGCATTTGGTAAAACCAAGATACTTTATTTGGGAATGGAGGCATGTGATCTATCCCTTGGAGATATGATTGAGAATAAAATTGAAGAAGATAGTGAGCCTTTTGCTCCAAAATATATTTTAAAGGTAAATTTTGGTTTTTATTTATAAAGGTCTTAACTGTCTAATTTAAGCTAATAAATGAAAAAATACAATTTGAGGTGTGAGGAATACAATTCTTGTTTTAAAAACGATAACAACTACTATAACAATAAACCATACTTGTGACTCTATTACATATATTTTAAAATATTTAAAACTACCCGATACTAAACGAAATAATTTAAAACTACTTTAAAAGGCCGGCAACGCATCTGCAATTCCCTCTCTGGTGTTGCAGTTGTTCATGGGCGGCGGTAGTCACTTACCATCAGGTGAGCCGCATGCTCGTTTGCCCCCTCCTATAAAAAAAAACTGCTATGTAGTAACCCCATAATCTACTGTGGGGGCTGTAAGACACAAAGGAGGGCTACAAACTAGGTGATGGGAAGCAGCGTCTTCTTGATGATAACTAAAAAATAAAAAATGCAGTTGACAACCTGAAAGTCAAGTGTGGCAACTATGCTTTAATATCCCTTTTATGAGGCTATTACCTACTGGCAATATATTTGGAGGCTTATGTATTGTAGTGTACTTTGATTGGCTGTGATAATGATTACAATGATATTTACAAATAGTTACAATAAGAAAATATGCAGTAATAATTATGTCAAGCTGGCACCACACATTTATTAAATAAATTAAAGTTGATTGTGCAACATAAAACGTGATTCTAATCTGTGTTTTTAGGTTTTTTTAAAAACTGCTGGGTTTCTTGGTGGTTCTTCCAGATTTTGTGGTCTTGGTGGTTCTTCCAAAGGTTTTCCGAACCAGTGGTAAAAGCATAATTAGAATAGAATAGAATAGAATATTTTTTATTCAATATACATTACATGTGTAATTCTTATTGAAAGTCATTTTTAACTTTACCACTGGTTCGAAAAAAACCCTCTGTCCTGGGAAGAACCAGCAAGAAACCCAGCGGGACTTTTTTTTTAAATAAATTTTACAATATAAATGATTACAAACTATTTACAAAATTTATTTTAGAAACTGCTTGGAAGCGATCACCTCATTCCCAGGGGTTATTATCAACCATGTATTCATTTATACTATAATAACCCTTTTTATACAATTTCAGCTTAATAAAACATTTAAACTTGGTAATAGAGAGAACCTGTACACTTTCCGGGACCTTGTTGTAATAGCGTATACATTGCCCCAAGAATGAATTACTGACTCTGTGGAGTCGAGAAACTGGTATCACTAGCTTGTATTTGTTCCTAGTGTTTACAGAATGTATATCACTTCTTTTACTAAAACTATCTTTGTTTTTGTGAACATACATTAAATTTTCGTAAATATACTGAGAGGCCAAAGTTAATATATTAATTTCTTTAAATTTATCTCTAAGAGACTCTCTCGGTTTTAGATTGTAAATAGCTCTAATGGCCCTCTTCTGTAAAACAAAAATAGTTTCTGAATCAGCCGCATTTCCCCATAGCAAAATCCCATAAGACATTATGCTATGAAAATAACTAAAATAAACTAATCTAGCTGTCTCGACACTAGTGAGACCTCTAATCTTTTTTACAGCATAGGCTGCAGAACTTAGTCTGCTTGCTAATTTGGATATATGGGGGCCCCACTGGAGCTTTGCGTCAAGAGTGATGCCAAGAAAAACAGTGGATACAACAGGGCTCAATTCCTCCCCATTTAAAAACACAATGGTATTCAGATTTTGAACATTCGTTGTTGTAAATTTAATACATTGAGTTTTATTTCCGTTCAAATGCAGATTATTAACGTTAAACCAATGCACTAATTTTGATATAGCATTATTCACTTCGTCACATTTAAATGATTGACGTTTAAGTTTAAAAATCAAGGAAGTATCATCAGCAAATAATACTATATCATGACTATCCCCTACAAGGTGAGGTAAGTCATTAATATACACCAGAAACAGGAATGGGCCGAGAATCGAGCCCTGAGGTACACCCATTAGTACAGGTGACCCGGAAGAACTTTTACCATTGATAATAACCTTCTGTTTTCTATTACTTAAATATGAAATAATAAGTTTAAGCGCTGTGTTCTTGACACCATAGTACTGTATCTTCCTGATTAATGTCTCATGGTGAACACAGTCGAAGGCCTTGGAAAGGTCACAAAATATACCCAAAGCATCCTCTGAATTCTCCCATGCACAAAAAATATGTTTAATAAGCTCAACTCCAGCGTCAGTTGTCGAGCGACCCCTTGTAAAACCGAATTGATTATTATGTAGCAATTTATTAATATTAAAGAAACTTAACATCTGATCTAAAATAATTTTTTCAAAAATTTTACTTAATGTTGGTAGTACAGAAATTGGTCTAAAATTGGCGGGGTCTAATGTACTACCAGATTTAAATATAGGTATGACTTTACTATGTTTCATTAAATCAGGAAACACACCAGATTCGACGCTTATATTAAATATAGTGGCTAGATAAGGTAAACCACCATTCAATAAATATTACTTCAAATCTGTATTGAGTAAAAGTTATTCTATTTTATACACTAGTGTATATAGTAGTAGGTACTACACTCTTGCCTATTCCTGCTACCAAATAACAGTGCTTGCCCAGCGTGTCCCTCGGAAGGATACAGCGAGCCAGTAATATCACAGACTGTGGGGAAATCCATCTTAAACCAAAACCACTGAGGTGACAATGCTTCTGTGTAGCCTTCTTTGTTTGAAGTTGGTGGCAGATGGACTACCATGGATAAATTAGTCACTTACCATCAGTCGGACTGTAACTGTTTGTCACTTCAGTTTAATAATAAAATCTATTCTATTCCAATTAAAGTTTGCTTCTTATATTTCAGGTAGCTGCAGACATTGGAAATGCACTCGACTATCTACACACAAAAATGCAGATACTGCATGGTGATATAAAATCATATAACATTCTTGTGAATGGAGACTTTGTCATATGTAAACTTTGCGATTTTGGCGTTACATTGCCACTTGACGAAAATGGTATTCTAGACAAGGAAAAGGCGGGGAAATCTGTTTATTACGGTAAATAAAATGCATAAGAATTTTTCCATCTTTATTATTACCAGTATAAACAAATTAAACAGATATGTCTGATAGCAACAAATTCATTAGCAATACTAGTTCCACATTTTCCTACTGTTCAAAATTTCAATGTTATAAAAAATTGTAAAATTACACAGGTGTTACATAAGCACTAAGTGAAAAAAAAAAAACATTTGGCAGACTTTGTTCTGTACTTTCTTCTTAAGTAGTATATTTTTTTTAAATTAATAAGCAGGTTACAAAGGCTTAAAAGGCAGGTTGCAGGTTTAAAATAATTAATTACTTTACCCAGCATCGCTTATTAGGTTCAATTGTTATATTTTCTTTTTTGTCACTAAACTAAACAAATGTATTGTGACTATGCCGCCTTTTGGTCCATAAATATAGAATTTGTTCAAAGCTTGTAGCCTCCTAGCATAGCTATGAACCATCATCTCAAGAAAACAATTATATTACGTGAATATGACCTCAATCAGTTCAGTCATTCAGAAGTTACAATAACTAACAGATGTACCATCAATATATAGCGATCAGCCATCCAAGTTATAGGTTAAATAGCTTTCTTGTAATAAATTTAAAAAAATCATTTTGGCATTTTCTCAATATCTTCAACAGCGTGTAAAAGTCCATTGCTTTCGACAATCGTAGTGCTAGACTTGCAGCTTGAATCTGCTCTGGTCTGGATATTGTAAGTTGTCACCAGTGAGGACTAAGATAGAACACCTCACAGCCTGTGTCTCTACTGGCCTTCTATACTCTGTAGACTGGGACACAGTTCAGGCATAGCTATTTGTCAGCAGAAATAGGTAAAAGAACCTGAAGTAGTGTAGCAGAGAATGCCATTATGGCATTAAGTTTGCCTTCGTACACAAAATATTTATTTAATAAAAAAAGTCTTCATTTATCTAAGTTGCTTATCTTTTACTCATTTATTTCAGGCACAGAAGCATGGAGTGCCCCTGAGGTGATTCACGGCGGCACAATTAGCAGCAAGACAGACATTTGGCCTCTGGGCTTAGTGTTCTGGGAGATGATGGCGTTAATGCCGCCACACACGCAAATAGATGACGACACACTTGATGAGAGTGTGGATAGTATGGAAGATGAAGATTCCATGATGGATTATTTCTCTGCCAGATATGGTAAAAACCCTTTAATTGAGATTTATTTTAACTTACCACTAAGATCTATCCTTGCCATATAGTGGCAGTAAAAAGGCATCCATTACAAACAGGGGTTGGGCAACAGCATATTATAGATGATTTATTTCCCCCCTAACCCTTATATATCCTCTCAAGTGTAGGGGGGGGAGGGGGTCTGTGCTCAGTAATGGAAATAAATTATATATAATATAAAGGCTATAACTTTACTAAGGTCTTATTAGATTTAAGGAGTGTCATGGTTGAAACTTTTTTGATCGCAAACTCCCGCATTCGGTCAGGGTCTCTTTTCCATCAGCTAGGTTCAGGTAGTAGTAGTTTACTTGAAATGTAAGCAGCACTCCGTCTCCCTTTCTTGTTTGGTCTGAGACTAACCTTAATAATATATGAAAACGAAAATATGACATAACACTATTTAGAGAACTTCCTTCCTTGGCATGATAAGTGGTAGGCATTTTCTGCTTAGGAGTTTGTTTGGGTGGGTACCACCGTATGTATTTTTGCCTCCAAATAGCAGTGCAAGTGTTTCGGTGTGAAGGGTACAGAGGGCCGGTATAATTACACACTGTGAGGCTTTCCATCTTAGTCTGGGGTGGCAATGTAACACATCTGAGGGCTTCACTGTTTGAAGTTTCCACATGTGCTCATGGAGAGTAGCCACCATAAGGTGGACCGTAGGTTCGTTTGTTTGTGTTGTTGTAATGTTACTTTGTACTGTATGCTTTATAGCTTTTCTATAAGATCTACCACAGCATAAAACACGTTGCCGTGTACCGCAAAAGTGAGTATCATTTTGATGTTATCAAAGTTAGTGAATAAACCCGCTGATAAGGATCTTTATGTTTTATGCAGGCACAAGGCCAGCGATCCCGAGCAACATCTGCCCAGTGAAGTACGAGCAGCCTCTGGCTCTGTTGTGTGCCTGTACACAAACCGAACCGGAGTTACGACCACTTGCTAGCAGCCTGGCCTCAGCAGCTGCTGCAGCCTTAACATAAACGGTACACACCTGCCAGTTTAACCTTCCAGTGATACAGTCGGGTTATAAATTAGTTGACGGATAACTTTTATCTGACGATTAAAGAATCAGCCCTAAATGTGAATTTAATATTTGAAAGCACTTCAAGCAGTACTGCTGTGGTACAGCTAAATCTTAATTTAGTTATTTAATTACTTTTTCGGTATTATATTTTTATATAATAATAATAATTAGTGACAAGGGTAACAATTCTCCTTATGTTAACTAGTGATTAGAGTCCATAGTCATCTGCAACGATTCAAAAACACTCCTAGCACTGTTGTAGGCAAACTATTAAATTTACTGAAGTGAAATAATCTATTTATTGATCATTAACTAGCTAAACCTTTTACGATTAACCCTTTACCATTTATGAATTTATTATAATATAATTTTATAGTATGAAATAGTTGCTAACGAGTTTTGCCAATCAATGGACGTCTGTGATTGGAGAAACAAATGCCTTATCTATCTCTATACATTAGTATTAGATTTAGCTAATAGGTTTAAGTAATTTGGTATAGAAGAGAGAAAAATAATGTACTTGTTCAGCTACTTTTTTCATATTTTACATAGATACTTGTTAAACCATATTAGATATTAAAGACCTATTACACCAGCTTACTTCTTTAGCATCTGGAAGGGATTAGAGTGGAACACGTGAATTGAGTAGAAGCTTATGGTATAGATATTTTATAAAATATACTATGAAATTGATCTATCAATAAATATTATTACTATATTCCTACTTTGAAGTAAGCTCTACACTAAAACAAGAGCAAAAAAAATCAAGTAAAAATTACTTTTAATTCATGGGTACCCCATTTTTTATTTACTGCAATTCAGTGCTTTAAGAAAATACCTATTCATTATTTAACTATTACTATTAAAAATACCTATACATAATTGGGGTAAATCTTCAAGGCTCTTGCCTTGAAGATTTACCCCAATTATAGGTCATTATATACAGACGGACAGAAAGACTCCAAAAAATTATTTGTACACAAAACACGCACGCAACTTTTTGCGTTGCATTTTTTTTTTATATGGAAATCTTACTATATTTGAAATATAATACAGCTGGTCGCCGTGATAGCATCTACTAGCATTTGTTTACTAGATTAATGTAATTCAATTTCAAATAAAAAGTAACAAAAATTTACTGAATTTATATTAAAAACATAGTTTTAGCTTTAAAATATTTACTACATGGTACAATATTATGATAAATGATATAACAGATATAATTATATTAGATTTATTGAGTGACGAGATTATCAATGACTTTAATTATGTTGCCATCTATTAAAATGTTACTATTTTTTTCACTTTCGTCGGGTATATCTCTCAACGAAAGTAAGAAAAGACGTTAGAAATAAAGATATATATCTTAGCAATGAATTTATAATTTAAAACCCTTTTCCCCACATGGTGCACTTACACTGCTTGGCGGTTTGCGTAGTGGTTCACAAGTTATTGAGAGTCGAGCTGGACGTAATAGAATAATCTAAACAATCGGCCTTCTCTTTTACTGTATGGGTCCTTCCTCGATGAGAAGGAAACAATGGTTCACAGAAGTCCCCTTGATTGATGAGACCAAATTCTACGGGTTCCTCGAAAAGGCTCGTTTCTCGCTAATCAAAGCTAAATAAATATCTTAGTAATAAAATACTTCAAGAATCTGGAGGCGGTATTGTACTTCTTTAAGAGCTAATCTGTTAACATCCAGTAATTTTAGAAGTCTATTGACATAATGCTGTTTTACTGTAGCCCAACAAATCCTAGTAAATCAAACCGAAACTTGGCTTTATCTCCACATGAGCTTTACAGATGCTGGAATGTGTGAGAGAAAAAGATATACAAATTGTCAGAAAATTTTAGAAATTACTCTAAAAATTATTTTAAAGAATAGGAACGTTGCTTAGTAACGATTTTTATGTTATACAACATTCATATGACACAATATGCCGTGAGAAATTTGGTGATGACAAGGTTGTGCTTGACATAAGTGCGTGAGCAATGCATTGCGTGGTTTTAGCGGCGGGGTTGCGGGGCGGCCAGAACGTCTTCGTTCACGTTACTGATCGCACGGTTTCGTTGTCGGAAAGACTAGTTGCTACCTGGATGGTAAGTGGACGCTGCGGCCCGGCATAGACATGTACGTCTATTCTTGATAAAGAATAAAAATGCAGATACGTTGTCACCCCTGAGGACTAAGATAGAATGCCTTGTTACCAGTAAAGGTTCTCCGGTCCTCTACACTCATTATACGAAACACATCATTTATCTGCAGTATAACGCTAGTTTTCTGCGAAAGCGTGGCCCTACCCGGTCAAGCCGACCCATTTGTGCTACAACCATAATATTGCTGCAGCGTAGTTCTACCACGTAAAAGACAAACATTTCCTTTTGAAACAAAAAAATCTATAGCCATTTAAGTTATATATATTTACATCCCATGAGTAATCTTGCGTCCTACATGGGTGAAGTTACCGATGATGTTGCGTCCGACCGACTTGTTGCGTCCAGTATACGGACGCAAGATTAACAACCTGATAATCAGCCAACAGACTTCATACTATCGGCAAACCATCTGGGCAAAAAATTAGCATGGCCGTTATTTCATCATTGCAATGATTTTCGGCGAATATTTTAGTTCAGCGACTTACCGCACATTTGTAGTTCGCTACTTCTCGGCGTATATCGGCGCTGTGCATATTTCACCTTTTTCTCCATCTATTACTCCGCGTATCTTGATACCGTATATTGTAAAGATTTTTAAAGTTTTATCAACTCCAATCGATTTTTTAACTAGTGGGATGCGGGAAATAAAGACTGCGTAAGAACCTTCGAAGGAGGCAGAGTTATAGCCGAAATAAGAATTTTGTATTTTTTCACGAAATTGCATATCACCGCACGATTCCGATACTGGCTGAGGCAACATAGGGAGTGCTTTGAAACTGAGGAAATGCTCCGATCTGCAAGAAAACTGGTAATCCAATTGTACAATTTATCGGGAAACCCATAGGAAGGGAACGAAAGGACCCTTCGAAAGAAGCGCTTTGTGCCAAACCCGATCGAAGGCCTTCGCAATATCCAAACTAACGGCTAATGCCTCTCCCTTGGACTCTACCACCTCCGCCCATCTATAAGTCAAGTAAACCACAAGATCACCAATTGATTGAACCCAACGAAAACCGTATTGGCGGTCACTAATCAGCTGGTGGTCCTCAAGGTATGAGCTGGCGTTTATAATTGATTCCAGTATTTTGGAGAACAAGGAGGTGATGGCGATAGGCTTGTACTTAGACGGGCCTGAGCGGTCGTCTTTTTTAGGGATTGGGTGGACGAATCTTCCGTGAATTCGAGACTACGCTTAGGGAGTAGGAGTACCGGAAAGGACGCGTTAGAACCGATACCTCCACGCGTTCCTGAGAAAAAGGGTCTTGACAGACAGACAGACAGATGGACAACAAAGTGATCCTATAAGGGTTCCGTTTTTTCCTTTTGAGGTACGGAACCCTAAAAAACTAGGAGTATTGAATTGCTACCTCCTCGCGAGGACCTGTTATAAAAGTGTATTATAATTTTTTCAAACAAAGTAAGTGGTATGAATCGCCACCACCCCAAATCATAGTTGCGATTTGTTAGAAATAAGGTACGCTTTTGGAATAAAATACGACGGATAATACTTAATACGTAATATTTCATTTATAAAACCTATAACAATTAGATTGGATGGATTGGAAGAGCAAAAATAATAATGAAACTATGATAGGTTAGGGAAAAAATCAACCCTTTTGCAGCGCCAACGCACATCTTAGCATTTCGTATTAAACCTCTGGATCACACGCCATCAGCTCAATTGGAGGTATTTTCAGGCCCACTAGACTTGTGAATGTTCAGAGAGAGGAGTGCTTTTTGAACCGAGGGCTGTGTGAACTGCACATCCGGTATGGAACATTCACACCACGGGATGGTCGGCGGTGTGCTCCCCCCGTCATCGTGAGTCGAGTTGGACGCAAAGAAAGAGCCTAGCAGATCGGCTTTCTCCTTTGCGGCATGGGCCAGTGAGTCGTCGTCACTGTGCAGAGATGGAAGAGATGGCTGACGGAAGTTTCCTTGGATAGTCTTGGCGAGAGACCAGAATGCACGGGTTCTCGAAGGAAGGCGAACTAGTTTCTCGACAATTCTGTTGTGTGCTCTGACTTTGTCTTGGCGATGACTTTTTTGAAGAACTTGGAGCCGGAATTATAATTCTTATTAAAGGCGCTAGTGGTTACAGCCCGGGCCGTTGAATCGTCAGGCCAGGCCTGGTAGCACTCCTGCTTATAGCTTGATCCTATTTTACAGGAGTGACCAAATCTTGGCTGAGATCTGCCTCCAATGGGCACCACAGAGGAAGGAATAAAAAGTTCCATAGCCTGAAGTACTACATCAGCGACAGAATTAGTAACAACGTTGGGATCGTCCGGTAAGAAGAAAACCCGCCCACATGGGTAAGATGCAAAGAAAGACCGCATCCTATACCAATCGGTGACCTAAAGTGCCAAACACGGCGAGAGTCTGCAGAATGCAACCGCAATGTTAGTGTGAATGGCACCACACTCCAGACTAGACAATGGTCCAAAGAGCCAAGAGGGGCGCCGGCAGAGACCTGATATCTAACCGGATGAGAGGTAAGCAGAAGGTCCAACAGGGAAGGCGCATGATCATCCACATCTCGAATCCGCGTAAGCGAAGTAACCAGTTGTGTCAGACAATATGCCAAGGCAAAAACATGAACAGATCTTCCCGCATGATCGGTTAAACGTTAACCGAGCCATTTGGCGTGGTGGGCGTTATAATCACCGAGGATCACGATCTTTACGGATGGGATCTGCTGTAGCAAGGAATCTATAGCCATTTGGACGTGGTTGATGAGTTGGTCTGTTTCGGCATTACCGCTATGGGACCTATAGAGGTAACCAAGGTAGACGC